AATATTTTTAAAGATCAAAATTAATGCCAAAAAAAGTAATAAAATTTAAAAATAAAAACAGAATCAGTATTACTGATTTTTTTCCCAGTGCCTTAGACTCCTATATGTCTTAAATATGGCATTGTGCCCTGGGCCAGCTCCAGACCAGAGCACTAATTGAGCCAGACATTATATTTTTTAAAGCTCCTAGATGATTCCAGTGTGTAGCCAGCATTGATAACCACTGTCTTATTCCACTGTCTCTCCTAATGCTCAGATTTCCTGATAAACCGAGGAATTGGTGGGCAGTCATCATTCTGACTGTAATTTCTCTTACCAAATACCAAAAATATAGTCTTGTTTTTAGACTTATGATGGAAAGTTCACAATTTTACAATGCAGCCATTTCCAGTGCTGGGCAACTCCACTGTTAACTCATTTATTTTGAGAAAGCTATTATCTTAGTTATCTAGTGCTGCTAGATAACAGAAGTACCACGAGTAGATAGCTTTAGTAAAGAGAAACATATTCTCTCATAGTTTAGGAGGCTAGAAGTCCAAATGCAGGGCGCTAGCTCTAGGGGAAGGCTTTCTGCCTCTGTCAGCTCTACGGAAAGGTTCTGGTCTCCTTTCAACATCTGTGGGCCCAGTGTTCCTTGGACATCTCCATTTGTCTTGGCATCAGTCTTCTCCTGGGTCTAGGTGGTTCCCAATGCAGGGACTCTGAGTCTAATGGACATGCTCCACTCCCAGCTCTTCTTCCTCTTTGGTAGGAGGCCCCTCTGATCGCTACTCACTTGTTTAACCTCTTTTATATCCCAAAAGCGATTGACTCTAAGATACAACCTAATCCTGTAGATGGTATCCTTCCTCATTAAATAACTGCTGATAATCCTGCCTCATTAATATCATAGAGACACCAGAGCTCCTTCATTAATGCCATAAAGGTTTGGATTTACAACACATAGGATAATTATATAAGATTATTGAGGATAATCACATCATACTGAGAATCATGGCCTAGTCAAGGTGACACATATTTTGTGGGGGGAAACAATTCAATCCATGAAATTCTCCCCTTTGCCCCCAAAATTCCATGTCCTTGCCACATGTAAAACACATTCACCCCATTACATCATCCCCAAAATCTTAAATCAATTCCAAGCCTCAACTCTCCTGAAGCAAAACTACTCTTCATCTGTTAACCTGTGAAATCCAGACTAGAAGTTATCTCTTTCTAAGTACAGTGGTGGAACAAGCACAAGATAGATAGCTGACAAAAGAATTTTCAAAAAAGCCACGCCTCTCCTACAGATATAAAAATAAATGCATAATAGGGACTTCTGGTAAGATGCAGGAATAGGCAGACAAGCAACAAAGACCCTCTTCAACAAAGAAAAGAAAAAGCAATTGACAGAGATACAGAAGATAATCCTGGATCCCTGAGCTTTGAAAGGAACTATACAGAAGTGAATTAGGCACCAACTAGTGGAAAAACCTGAATGACAACAGTGAGTACAGAGATGGTTGGACCTGCGGACTCTCGGCTACCCTGACGGGACCAACAGCCTGAATATTTCCAAGTGGTGTTGAGACCTGAGAATTGACCTACAGATCAGCCCTGGTTACCAGGGGCTGCAGGAATGACTGCACTCGTGGCCTGTGACTAGGAAGGGAACAGCAAGGAGGGAGACAACCTGAGCTGTTAACTTTCCACTGGCCAGAGGGCGCAGCCATTTTGATTGTTTACATGTGGCAGCCATTTTGGATATTTAAAGTGACTGAGGGTGCAGCCATTTTGAATCTTTACAAGTGGCAACCATTCTGGATTTTAAAGTGATAGCATTGTCATTCAGATTTCAGGGACCTAAGAATAGGCTCTGTTTGCCAAGGTCAGCCGGGACATACTAGAGGCTGAGAGCAGGAAAGGAGACAGGTGGTGAGGGTATAAGTGCTGTCAACTAGCAAATAGAGGAACATGGCACAGTACCCTGATTACACAGATAACATACAAACAAAACGAAAATCATGGGCAAGTCACTCCAACATACAATCAGCAATTAAATATAAACACAAAAACATCACAATGCTTCAGAGACAACAGAGCATCACAGTCCACACAAAGAAGCAAGATAAAGCAGGAGAAACAAGGTACCAGGACACAGACCCAAAAGATATCCCTGAGGAAGATGCAGCATTGGAACTCCCTGATAAGGAATTTAAAAGAGTTATATTTAGGTATCTTCAACGAACTGAGAGACAGATCAAGGAAACCACAGAGAAAACCCTAGAACAATTTCAAAGAATAATACAAGAACAAAATGACAAAATAAATGAAAAATTAGAAATGATACAAAATCTACACACAGAAATCCAGAAGACTAATACTAAATTTTCAGAAATAGATAAGACATTGAATGGGCAAAGGAGCAGAATTGAATTGATGGAAGACGGAATTAGTGAGATTGAAGGCAAATACCTGAATACTTCTTTGGAAAGGGATCAGTCAGAAAAAAGATCAAAACAAAATGAAGAAAGCCTAAGGTTCATGTGGGATACCATCAAAAGGAATAATCTACCTTTAAGTGGAATTCCAGAACAGGAAGAAACAAAACCACAGAGAAAATTGTCAAAGATTTGTTGGAAGAGAATTTTCCTGGTATGATGAAAGATGAAAAAATATCAATTCCAGAAGTCCAACTAACCCCAAACAGGATAGACCCCAAAAGAAAATCACCCAGACATATTATCATCAAACTTACCAAACCAAAGACAAAGAAAGAATCATGAGAACAGCACGGGAAAAACGAAAAGTTACCTACAAGGGACAACCAATAAGACTAAGCTTGGATTTCTCAACAGAAACCATGCAGGCAAGAAGACAATGAGATGATATATATAAAACACTGAAAGAGAAAAATTTCCAACCAAGAATTATGTACCCAGCAAAACTATCCCTCAAATATGATGGTGAAATTAGGATATTTCTAGGTAAGCAGAAATTAAGGGAATTTGTTAAAACCAGACCAACCTTACAAGAGGTTCTAAAGGGAGCCCTCTGGACAGAGAAGCAACAACAGCCAACAACTGACCATTAACACACATGATGATATAACCCAGAAACCAACCCAGCTATGGAAGTATCCAAAGTAAAGAAGCCTACAAGATTGTAAACAGGGAGCCAGAGACATCAATAGACAAAAGAGGACAACTACAAACCAAAAAGAGGGAAAAAACTGTGTTGTTATAGAACTTCTAGATGGTAGGGAAGTCAAGACAACTACAAGACAGAACTGACTGTTCTAAACTTGAGAAGAAAACTATAAATCACAAGGTAACCTCAAAGGAAAATGATATACCTTCATATCAAAAAAGAGGACCAGCATAAATATTCAGCAAATGCTAAAACAATAGCAATGAAGAAAGTGATAACACAACTCATAAACAAAACGAGCTCAGCATAGAAAATTATATGGAACAAAGAAATCAACACCACGAAAAAGCACATAACAAAAATGGCAGCAACAAATTCATATTTGCTAATAATTACACATCTGACAAGGGACTTATTTCTAAAATTTATAGCAGAAGAGTGGATGACCAAACTATGGTACATACACATACTGGAATGCTATGTAGCACTAAAGAATAATGTAGAGTCTGCAAAATACCGCACAATATGGATGAACTTGGAGGACATTATGCTGAGTGACATGAGTCAATCACAGAAGGACAAATATAGTATTAGTTCATTGTTGTGGAGGGCCAAGGAAAGGTTTATATATGGAAGGAA